TGATTGTTGTTGAAATAATATGTCTACGAAATGAGTGTTGGTGAAATAAGCGGCACCACCTCAAAAATAATACCTCCTTGACTAAAACCCAGTATTACGCATCACCCTCTCAGCTTAATTCTTGAATAGTTCCTGAGAGTATAACTACATAAATTTATTACTATTCATATGATATATCCTTAAATATAGTACCACTTTCTCCGGTTTCTTATACAGTTACCCATAATTTAAAAAATGAAGTTTATGAATAAGACCCAAGTACTGTATGTAGTGGCAAACAGTACTTTCATAGCATATAACGTACTTATTAAAAACTAATATTAAATTTTTATTATAGCTTTTAGAAAATCATTCTGAAATTATTTCAAATAATGTTGTGTTTAATTTACTTCAAAATGAAGAGTTTTATTCAAAGTGTCATCAAATAGCATCTATTCTTAAACCAGTAAAAGAATTAACTAATATTCTTGAAGCCCGCAATGCAGATTTAGCAGAATGTTTTATTGGTTTAACAAGACTTGTGACTAGTATTAATAGATTAGAGTTAGGAAATCAGTGGAAAACATTAATGATCAACAATTTTAATCACCGTTCTGAAGAATTTATTAATGATTTCTATATATTAGCCTATTGGCTTTATCCATTATATCGTGGTAATAATGATAATATATATATATATGTTGTACATCAAATTAAAATATGCGTCAAATCAAAATAATGATATATAATATTGCTATGTAATACCTACCCTTACCCCAACGTAGAGCTTCATCTAACTCTAATGAAACTCTATTAAAATTTTGATCTAATACAAATTTCAATTTGATGCAACATAAGTTATACAACAGAATAAAATCTAGGTAAAATTTGAATCTACATAGTGAAGATTACATATATTAGCTCACAACTTAGATTTTATTCTGTTCTATAATAAATATTTTGTTTAATATTTAATTTTTAATTTATTCAAAATTTTATTTATAGGTCGTGGATTACAACAAAATGTATTAAATAAAATATATAAAACTGCGTCACTCATTTGGTATAATTTTAAGTATACAGAAGCATCGTGTTTAAGTCTTTTATCAGAAATGAGATCATGGAAGCGTAAAGAACCTCAGTATGATCTTAGTTATAATCAATCTAAAGAAACGCCACTGAAATGGTGGATGAGTGTGAATGTAGATGTAGAAAATGATCAATTACAAGAACTTGCTTTATTTTTATTTTCAATTGTTCCATCCCAGGCTGTCTGTGAAAGGAATTTTTCTACACTAAAATGGCTTTTCAGAGATAAGCATATACAATTGAATTTATTACGAATTGAATCCATAGCAAAAATTAGATCTTTTTATGTTTCAAATATGGATAAAGAATTGAGGGTTTATGGTAAAGATGTAAATAATAAAGACTTAAGAGAAAATTTAAATAACTCTGTAATTATGCAGCAAACTGAAGATTCAGAAATTGAAGATGATAATGATAACAATTCGCAACAAATGTTGACTAATAATTTAAATCTTAGTCAAATCGTTGATTTAACTTTACCTGAATTTTTATCAACTAATATTACTTTATTTGAATCTGCTATTAATAGATTATCTTCTCACGAAAGGGTTATAATTTAGAACGTAGAGAATATGATCCGATTCAATTAGCACAGCAAATGATAAATGAAGAAAATAATTTGTAATTTATTAGATATATCAATATATTTTTATCAGCTATATTTTTTTATATTTTAGTGTTTAGAATATATTATCGTTATTGACATTATTAAAATTTGCTTTTTGAAAAATTATATACGTATAGTAGCACAAATTTGGTTGGTATATAGCAAATCAGAGTTCTGGAAAGTTTTAATGGAAATTGTGATTTTTTGAGTTGTATATCTAGATTAGAGATTGTACTCGGATAGACGAAAAGGGTAAATCATTATAATAATAAGTTACAGGTTTTTCTTTTTTGTCACTCATATAGTATAATAAATTACCCGGATAACTGGATAATTTAGTAATACCCAGGTAGAAATTTTCTTGATGGGTACAATATCTAATCTAGATATATAGTCAAAGTTTGGATATACATTAGCATATTGTAATTTACTGCAATCTTGCATGCAGCATTCTATCTTAGTGTAATAAATTTTATTTATCGCTAACACTAATATCAATATAATTAGACAAATGATAATAATTTTTCATTATAAGTAGTACAATAATTCTATTTTATCATAAATACAAGTTCGAATAAAATTGATCAAAGGGAAATTCTATTTTCACTTGGGTTAAAGTCACCCGATATTATATTATCTAATATAAACTACTAAAACAAACTAAAAATTCTACAGATTAGTTGGTTAGTAGTTAGGGTAAATTGATTTTAATAATATTATATAAATTTTTATTACAGTCAACCCTTCATAAATGCATATTAAAATTTTGAGGGCTTGCATTTAGAGAACAATAATAAAAATGCATTTATGGGAGTTTAGTATATATTTAGCCAGAAAATTAATATGCATTTAAGGAGGTTATGTATTTAAGGAGGTTATGCACTTAGGGGGATGCATTTAGGAGAGGCTGACTGTATAATATAATAAAAATTATCTATCAGGTGACCCTAACCAGGTGAAAATAGAATTTTCCTTGATCAAATACTGATTTTGCAAATAAAAAAATAGTCTTAGAGCCCTGATTTGCTGTGTTCCAACCCAGCTATTGTTTGATTAGTGACTTTATCTCAGGGCTCAAGCTCTTACGATACAATACTAACTCAAAGCAATACTAATAAAAAATCTAATCAGGCTTTACTCTGGTAAATTTTAAAAAATTCGGCGCATTGAATGGAATCATTCAACTGTTATTAGACTTGTATTCAATATGTTGAATGATAATTCATTCAACTTATACGTATTCAATATATCAAATAATATGTTATGTGGGGTGTGGCGACTTAGTGAAGTGGTGAAGTTGTCACACCCCCAAGTGATAGAGTATAAGTTCAATTCCCACGGAAGGCGAAAAATTGAATTTAGAAAAACGAATTCGGCAACTATCGTCATGGCTGGGAAAACTTAAGACCCTGTAACTGTGGTCGTACCAAGATAAAAATTGGAAGATTCTGGGGCTTTGTGTAATAAAGGAGTTACACAAAGGCATGCAAGCCAGTTTAGTCAGTGCAAACCCAAGATAAGTCCTTTCAGAATCGCAGAAAGCCACAGAGCCAATATGGCAGTGGGCGCTCACTTGGGAGGTATTATTTTTGAGGTGGTGCCGCTTATTTCACCAACACTCATTTCGTAGACATATTATTTCAACAACAATCA